TGAAATATTTTTGCTCGTTAAATTATTCAGGCTATAGTAAATGTTAAAAAAGAAAAAAATAATTTTGTCAAGAGACTACTAATATCTCCTTCACCCACTATTGATTTTTGGAAGTACTAAATCAGGTACTAAATACTGATTTCAACAGAATTATGTGATTCGTTGTAATTTTGGAGTACAGGCATGGTCTCGTCATTATAACGCATCATAATGGCGAGACCAATGTTATCGTGAAATTCCGTTTATACCGTGTGAAGTACAAAAATTTAAGGACAAGTACAAAATAGTACTAAATGGGTACAAAATACACGTGGTAAAAATTTTCAATTACAAGAGTTGGTCCCGTCATTATGACGTTTATGTATATACTTATCTTCACTTATCTGAGTTTAAACTTCAAAATACATCAGTATAAGCAATGGCACTATCCTATTTCTTCCACAGTTTTCCATTATATCAATAATTATCTTTTTCAGTATTCTTCTAACTTTCCCATTAAATTCTCATAGCACCAGGGCCTCAATTCTGCTATTTTATGTTAATGTCACTCCATGGGCACGCTATTGAGATTTGTCGCCATTGTCATCGGTCAAAATGTGTCTATTCTACTAACATAAATTCACAGTGTCTTAGACTGTCGATGTAGTGACAATGGCTCGTCAATGGCGATATTAACAACACTGGAATATCTGGCAAATTAAATATATGATTTCCTTACAAATTTAAATAGTACCGTTTACCAAAATATTACAAAGACATTTTTATTAGTGACAAGTCATCGGGAGGCCATTGGTCTTACATAGTTAGTAGAATACGAAAAGTGCAAAACTATTCCGACAGTCCATCGACAATATATCGATACAATATTAAAAAAGCATAATTGAGGCCCTAGTCGACGGTAATAAGTTCAAGTTTGGTGACAAAATGTAGGCTTTTATTATGTCGCTGCTCACAGGCGCCACTCACGCCTGTGAAGCGTGAGCAGTGGCTAGGTTAAGCCAAAGCCAAAGCTAATATATTTAAGTGTAGAGTGTATATACTTATGAAAATTTCCAGCAAGGCGGATATTTTTGCCATCTCAGAGATATCTCTGCGTGTTCTGTATAAATAAGAAAGAGCTCTTACAAACATTCTTAAAATACATTTTGTTAAGAACGTCTAGCGCCATCTAGGACCTTGGGGAGGAACTGAGGGGATTGAAGATTGAAAAGGAAGTACCGCTCTTTTGATTGTATTTGGTTCGTTACTTTTTGAAATGTCAACGATCACATATATATAGATAACACTTGTAACGAGAACACTTACCATATGAATTTTGTCTGTACTACTTACCTTAAATATACGCATTTATATAATATATTAAAATAAAGGAATTCATTGAAGAAAGCCCTACAGACCTAAATATTTCACCAGAAGAACATACACAAATTGATATAAAGTTTGGACCCTCGAGCCGGATCATCGTGAGCAGCAACGCCAACAACCAGCAGCAGGTCAGGCCTTTCAATTCTCCTTCCCAAATCCTCTGTGTTCAGTGTGTGCTAACATCGTTACCCTGTATTCATTATAGTTTGTTCTACCGGTCCCATCTACTGGTGTCAGTCTCCCTTGCCGTTATTTTGTGCAGATTCAAATTCACCAGAACTGTAAGTACCTTGATTTTCACCACTTACAACCACCAATATGACGAAAAAAAGGCAATCAATCGTAGATCTTGAAAGTAGTGACGATATTATACGGGAATTCGTTAAAAAACGGGGTGTTGTTAAGGGCAAATTTACGTTATTTTCTAAATATGTTAATTCATTAGATATTTCACAAATTAGCGAAACTCAAAAGGCTGAGTTACAAGAACGTTTTCAGAGATCCTCAGTGTTATTCGATCAGTTCTCTAAAATCCAAGACGATTTGGATTTGATGGTCGAAGGTACTCAAGTAGACAAAGAATTAGAAGAAAGGGAATCTTTCGAGAACCAGTACTATGCTATCGTGGCCAAATGTAAATGTATTTTAAAGGTAGAAGCTTCATCGAAAGGTGTTCAAAATTGTACTCCTAACACAATTAAACTACCTACAATCTCTTTACCAAGTTTCGACGGTACTTATGACCAGTGGCTCGAGTTCCGCGAAACATATTTATCTCTCATCCACAATAGTAATAGTCTCGATAATGTTCAAAAGTTTCATTATTTACGTTCAGTTCTAACAGGTAACGCATTTCACGTTATAAAAGCCTTAGAATTCTCTTCTGAGAACTATCCAACAGCTTGGAACCTTCTACAAAATAGATACAATAATAACCGTCTATTAGTTCACAATCACGTCAAGGCATTATTCACCATTCAATCTATGAGTAAAGAAGCATCGTCACAAATACGTAAGCTGGTTGACACTGTTTTAAGGAACATTCGTGCCCTGAAAACTTTGGGCTAGCCCACCGACTCATGGGATACATTAATAATATACATAGTAGTTACAAAACTAGATTCTTCTACCGAGCGAGAATGGGAACTCCACAAGGGTTCAGTCACGAATGTATCCTCGGATAGAAAAATAGTGCTCACTGATTTATTGTCATTCTTGAGGAACAGAGCCGATTTCCTCGAAACTGTTAAACCTCAAAACAACCAATCGGATGGTCCGGTAAACACAAACATAAAAAAATCACACAGTCATCTTAGCACCACTCAACAAAAAACAAATACAAGTAGTAGATCGTCTAACTCTCAGCGTTACAAATGCAATATGTGCAATTCAAATCATCCTATTTATTCGTGTGATCGTTTCCTTAGCTTATCTCTTAAGGACAAATTAAAACATCTTAACGAGAAGAAGCTCTGTTGTAACTGTTTACGCAATGGTCATACTGTAGACGAATGTTGGTTCGGACCATGCAAGCGTTGTAACAAAAAACATAATACACTAATTCACAACGATCACAATAGTACATTATCATATAGCACAAATTCATCACAAAATTCACAACAATCAGAAGGTAGTACAGACATCATACCCACACACATAGCTCAAACTGCATCTCACAAATCTCACACGCTTTACAAAGATAATAGTATCAACACGCATTATTTATTCAATCCGGTGTTATTATCGACTGCATTAGTGGAGATCGCAGATAAAAATAATAAATATCACACAACACGAGCGCTTCTAGATAATGGGAGCCAGCACTGTTTCATATCCGAAACACTGTGCAAAATACTTAATATATCATTACTACAGTCCACTGTTCAGGTCATAGGAGTAGGTAATTCTATTTCTCAATCCACACAATCATGCGACATCCAACTGCGTTCTAAAACAAGCTCGTACAACACACGCTTTAACTGTCTTGTTTTATCACGCATTACAGCGCAGTTACCTTCATTGGGTATAATCACAAATTAGAAATACCCGACAATATAAAACTCGCAGACCCTGAATTTTATTTACCTAACGAAACACACTTATTAATAGGCGCAGATAAGTTCTGGGAATTGCTAAATGGGGGTTTAATTCGTTTACCTAACGGCCCTTACTTACAAAACACACAATTAGGTTGGATAATATCGGGATCGGTGCAGAGAAGGGCTTCGCATGTAAAACAAATTCAATGTAACTGTTTAATATTGTCATAGAGTACTATGAAATAACAAAAGCAAATTTAGTTGTTAAATTGTATTACGTGTTAAATGTAAGTGTGTTATTGTTTGTGTGAACTCCCACGAGATGGCGCTCGGCTATGAGAGTGAATCGCGCTATTAAGATTCTCTAAGACCAAATGATATCGCTGTATAACCTATATTGTGTAAGAAAAATAAACCTGTACTTGGAACAGTAATCTGCAGTGTTATTACTCCTTGCTGTATCCTAATCGCTGAGTCAGCGGCACGCTAGTACAGTGGTCCTTCGGAGCCGAATATTATTCGGAATTTGACGTCGGCGGAGTAGGTCGACACTACTACTAAGCAGTGGATCGCTGCTTAGAGCATCTTTACAGGCAGTCTGTACGCTTGTGAAGAACCGGGAGCTGGCAGTTCCTGGATTATAAGCGGAAGTTCCGGAACCTGTGAAGGAGGCCAGGGCAAGTGGAGTCCCTGGAGGAGCGGTGCTGTTAACTTGGAGTCCTTGGTGAAGTAACCAAGTGAAGGAGGATATTATACAGGTGGTGAACATACCTGGGATAAACTGTGAGTAAACTTTAGTTATTTAAACTAGTCAGTGAAGAATTAAGCAATAGTGAGCTTTAGTGAAATAGTTTTCAAGGCAAGATAAATTGAAGCAAAAGTGAACTTTAATGCCTTAAGCTAAGGAACTTAAACGTTAATAGTAAATTTGGACTTTAACTTTAGTTTAGATTTAGACTTAGAATAATTTGTAAAAAGTGGATGAGACGGGGAACCTATGCCCGATTTTTTTTTTAATGTGTAAAAACACTTGTAAAAATTTTTGTTTATTTCAAAACTTATAAAATTTTATCTGGTTTGAAATACTCTTTGGCAAAATTTTGTCCGAGTAATTAACAGTTTGTAGTTGAAAATTGTTGTGTGATATTAATAAAATAAGATGATAACTTATTTATGGTTTAAATGTCAGAACGAGTTTTAGACGTCGACATTGCCACTAGTGTTGACACTATTTTGTTCTGTGTATCTTTGTTGCTGTGTTTCTAAAGAATATAGCCGCTAGTTGTATTGGAAGTTTGCATTTATCTTAAAGATATTCAGAACGTAGCGGCTAGTATTGAAAATAGTTACATCATATATATTGGTATGGTACTAGTCTTTGGTAAAATATTGCTGCCGTTAACATATTAGTTTTTCGTAATTATTTTGTGGTTCTAGATTTGTTAGTTCTAATTTAAAGTTAAAATGGAGGCTTTAATTAACAAGCAAAAAAATACGTATGATAGAATACATAAAGCTTATGTTAATTATAAGAAATCGCCGAAGGAGCGAATAACTCGTCCTTATGTAAAGGTTAGATTAGAAAATTTAGAAGAAATGTGGACTCAATTAACAGAAGGCCATAGTAAGTTATACGGGGAATCAGAACCAGAAAAACTAAATGTAAGTCAGTATGTTAAGGAGAAAGTGTATGATTTAGCGGAAGAAATCTATATTCAGTACAAAATTGAACTTGAAACAAATATAGAATCATTTATAGCCAAGGAGGAAAAGGAGAAACAAATTCCTAAAGCTACTGGGCAGAATTCAAAACCGTTCCAGATAAAATTGCCTAAAATAGTGATTCCTGTATTTGATGGTAAATACAAAGAGTGGGTAACCTTTAGAGACCTATTTGTATCCCTTATTCACAACAACCCAGCTTTGGATAATGTGCAACGAATGCAGTACTTGAAAGGGTACTTGTCAGGGGAAGCCGAGCAGCTTCTCAGACAAATACCTATTTCTGAAGCAAATTATTCACGCTGTTGGGATCAATTAAATGCTCGGTATAACAATAAACGGTATCTTTCGCATTATATTTTGAAAAGGTTACTAAGTCAACGTAATCTGCATAACGAATCGGCAGTAGGGCTAAAGGAATTAATAGACAATACTAACGATTGTTTAAAGGCATTATCTAACCTAGGTATTGATGTTAGTACATGGGACATCATAGTTATACACATTATTACTATAAAGCTAGATTTGGAGTCCCGAAAGCAGTGGGAATTTGATATTACTTCACATAATTCTACAGATGAACTACCCACCTTGAGTCAATTTACAGAATTCCTAACGAATAGATATAGAGCATTAGAATTTTTGGATAGTAAACAAGGTTCAGGATTTAAAGGGCAGATGTACCAGAAACCGAACACATCTAAATTAAATACGTTACACGTAACCAACAATCAATGCCCTTTTTGTTCTGAATCACATAAGCTAGTTCACTGTAAACAGTTTGTTAAATTAGATATCAACGCTCGTCGTAGTTTTGTCCTGGAAAGGGGAATTTGCTTTAATTGTTTAGGCAATAACCATTCTGCAAAGGTGTGTAATTACACGGTAAAATGTCGCATTTGTAAACGTCGCCATCATTCACTACTACATCCTCGCGGTGAAGGGTCATCCGCTGGTTTACAGGAGAATGATGGTGTGCATGATGCATCGCTGTCAAATAAAACTAATTTTTCGACGCGGGAAAGTGAGGTAGACACTGGGGATCCACTGGTCAGTTGTTTTTCGACAGGAAAACCGGAGGGTACGGTTTTATTAGCCACGGCTTTAATTAAGGCCGAGTCGAAAGATGGTACTTACCAGATTGTGAGGGCTTTAGTGGATCAAGGTTCACAAGCTTCATTTGTCACGGAAGCTACCGTTCAATATTTGGGATTGAAGAAAACTCCTTCTACTCAAATCATAAAAGGTGTCGGAGGAGATAAAGAAATAATATCGAGGTCGATGGTAGTTATTAACATTAAGTCAAGGATAGATTCCAATTTCAATATTTTAATTAGGGCTCATGTATTAAGGTCTATAACGTCACTTCTTCCAGTTGCAAGGGTAACTGCGGTCAAGTGGAAAGATCTTAAGGAAGAAAGTTTGGCAGATCCTCAATACCACACTCCTAATAAAATAAACGTTTTGTTAGGTGCTGATGTTTACAGCCAAATTATACAAGAAGGTCTGAAAAAGACTTTACAAGAAACAATTGTAGCTCAGTCTACGAAATTGGGATGGATAATTTCTGGCCAAGTTAATACCTGGGGTTATTGCTCTTCGAAATTGGCGGTGATGCACGCGGAGGTAGAAGAAAAGGAAATTTTAAAAAGGTTCTGGGAAATAGAGTCAGAACCTACTAATCAGAAGAGATTGTTAACAGACGACGAAAAACGTTGTGAGGCGTTATTTTCAGCAACGACTATAAGAGACCCAAATGGCAGATACGTTGTAAGGCTTCCGTTCAAAGAGGAAAGTGCACTTTCTCAAGTCAGTGGCTCGAAGGAAATTGTAGAAAGGAGATTGAATTCATTGCACGCCAGGTTAAAAAGGAATACGGAACTGAAAACAAATTATAAATTAGTTATAAATGATTATATAACGCAGGGTCACATGGAAAAGGTTCCTGAAAATGAGAAAGAGAAATTGAATGTCATATACTTACCGCACCATGCAGTGGTAAGAAATGATAAAGATACTACCAAGGTCAGAGTGGTGTTTGACGCATCCTGTAAAAATAACAAGGGTTATTCATTAAACGACAAGTTGTTGATAGGACCAAGGTTACAACCAGAACTTCGACACCTTTTGATACGATGGCGAAATTATCCTGTATGTCTAGCGGCGGATATAAAATTTCATCTAAAGAGGGTTATAGGTGACTCTACACTAACATATGAAGAGTTATCTACTGTTTTATCCCAAATTGAGGCTTGCCTCAACTCTAGGCCTGTTTCAACACTAAACTCGGAGGCGGATGCCTTGGATGTTCTAACACCGGGGCATTTCCTAATTGGTGAGCCCTTGATCACAGTCCCGGATCACAATTATGAAACTTCTTCAATGTCCAACTTGCGCAGGTGGCATTTAACCCAAAAAATGATGCAGAGTTTCTGGCGTCGTTGGTCGCAGGAGTATCTTGCCGGGTTTCTTCATCGGTACAAATGGTCCTGTCAACAGGTTGAACCAAATATCGGAGATGTTGTGGTAGTGAAAGAGGATGACTTACCTCCCAGCAAATGGCTTTTAGGACGTATAGTCGAAAAACACCCGGGACAGGACAACATTACTCGAGTAGTGACATTGCGTACAAAGGCGTCATTAATTAAAAGGCCTACCTCAAAATTATGCATTTTACCAGTAACTCAATAGTTTGTAGTTATATTTCTTAGTTATGTTTCAATTTCAGTTTTGTAACCTGCGCAAGGGCATATGTATTAAAGTTGTGCATGGTGGGCGGTCTGTTAAAAAAGGACTATTGGAAATAGGTCCTTGGTGGGCGGAATGTTTAATATTGTCATAGAGTACTATGAAATAACAAAAGCAAATTTAGTTGTTAAATTGTATTACGTGTTAAATGTAAGTGTGTTATTGTTTGTGTGAACTCCCACGAGATGGCGCTCGGCTATGAGAGTGAATCGCGCTATTAAGATTCTCTAAGACCAAATGATATCGCTGTATAACCTATATTGTGTAAGAAAAATAAACCTGTACTTGGAACAGTAATCTGCAGTGTTATTACTCCTTGCTGTATCCTAATCGCTGAGTCAGCGGCACGCTAGTACAGTAACTTTACTCATACTTTACAATTAGATAAAGAAATCAAACGTTTTTGGGAGCTAGAAGAGATAAGTTCAAATTATAAACACCTCAATAAAGGTGAACGTGCATGCGAAAATTTATTTAAACACTACTTTGCGCGACAATAAAGGCCGTTTTTCTGTACGTATTCCGTTGTGTAAATCAGCTGATGCGCTTCACGATACGTTTACGATAGCCGAGAACAGGTTTTATGCGCTTGAGAGTAAACTTCTTCGTTGCGCACCGTCCTATAGACAAATGTATATAGATTTTATGTGTGAGTATTTAAAATTAGGTCATATGAGTCGCATTAATAACTATTCATTCCCGTGCTATTTGATACCACGTCATGGCGTTTACAAAGAACGTAGCTCGACCACTAAACTTAGGGTCGTTTTTGATGCGAGTATTAAATCTCCGTCGGGCGAATCGTTGAATGATATACAGCATGTCGGACCTGCTTTACAGAATTATATTTTTTCTATTTTGCTTCGATTTCGACAATTTAAATATGTTGCAAGCGCGGATATCGAGAAGTTTTTTCGTCAGATTGAAGTTCAGTCCGATCAGAGAAATTTACAATTAATTCTTTGGAGGGAGAACCCATCTGAACCCCTCGGTATGTACCAACTTAATACAGTGACGTATGGGACGGCATCCGCGCCTTATTTGAGTGGTCGATGTTTAGAGCAACTTGCATTGGAATGTAATGATGACGTCATCGTTCAGGTTATTAATAATGATTTTTTGTTGATGACCTTATTACAGGCCTTGATGACAAACAGACTTTGATGGATATATGCAGCAAAGTGTCGAATGTATTAAGATCTGGTTGCTTTCCTTTGAGGAAATGGTTATTCAATTTTCCGACTTCACAAACAAACTCGCTACATCCATCAAAGGAATTGTCGTTAGATGATAACTGCCACACTAAGCCCCTAGGATTAGGGTGGTTTTACATGTCAGATGAATTACATTTTAGTTCTAGATATAATCATAGTCGAATTAATGTAACTAAACGTAATATTCTTTCAAAGTGCACAACAACAGTCCTTTTCAGAAATTTATGATAGATTAAAATATGATAAACCTTTAAAATTTAATCGTGAAATTTCAAGTTTGAATATATTTTTTGATGAACACGGTTTGATTCGAGTGGGCGGCCGACTAACGCGTTCTGAGTCCCTTCCATATAATAAAAAGCATCCCGTGCTGTTGTGTGCTAGTCATATATTTACACGGCTTCTCTTTCAATATAAACATAAAGCTTTATTGCATGCAGAACCTCAGTTGTTATTAGCTACAATTAGGGATACTTGGTGGCCCCTGAGAGGGCGTAATTTGGCAAAACAAACAGTGCACGCCTGTGTGAAATGCGTACGTATGAGAGCTAAACCTTTAAGTATTCAAATGGGTAACTTAACTCCGGAACGACTGGAGCCTGGATATCCTTTCATTCGATGTGGTGTGGACTATGCTGGGCCATTGCTTATAATAAACCGTACCGGAAGAGGGGCAAGGTTATATAAATGTTATGTTTGTCTTTTTGTCTGTTTCACAACGCGCGCTGTACATTTAGAATTGGTCACAAGTCTAACTACAAAAGCATATTTATTGGCCTTGAAGAGATTCATCTCTAGACGTGGTAAACCCTTACAAATTTATTCTGATAATGGGAAAACATTCGTAGGTGCTTTAAGGGAATTTTCTAATTTTTTAGTTGAAAATGAATCAGATATTAAGGAGTTTACAGCTAATAATTCACGCGTCGCCAACATCAAAACAGCGGCGAGCGTAATCCGTAGATCATTCGCAAAAATCTGTCCACTGCTGATTCCTGACGAAGAACACACCTGCGACTCATCGACCCCTTTGGAACCAGGTGCTTCCAAGGCCGGGGGCATGTTAAGGACGTCTAGCGCCATCTAGGACCTTGGGGAGGAACTGAGGGGATTGATGATTGAAAAGGAAGTACCGCTCTTTTGATTGTATTTGGTTCGTTACTTTTTGAAATGTCAACGATCACATATATATAGATAACACTTGTAACGAGAACACTTACCATATGAATTTTGTCTGTACTACTTACCTTAAATATACGCATTTATATAATATATTAAAATAAAGGCATTCATTGAAGAAAGCCCTACCGACCAAAATATTTCACCAGAAGAACATACACAAATTGACACATTTTATGTTAAACTTCTAACTAAACGCATGCGGATTCGCAGTCTTCAACTATTACATTATTATATATATCAAAGATATACTTATATTTATCAAAATCACTATGTTTGATTTTGTGAAATTCCTTGAATAAGCGTATCAGTGACTGATTATTCACTGACATCGCAAAACTCATACCTACGAATACTATTATGAGAAAATGAATAGTATAGTCTTAACAATCTAAGTACATTTTGACAGGTGGAACTGACGTTCTGTAACTAGAGAACGCAACTATAGTCCTACCAACTTATCTGTGAAATGGCGAAAATTGGAACTACGGCCGTCATGTTGAAATGTCATTCGATTGTCAGTGTCTACTACATTCGGGTTCTCTGGTTGTTTTGTCGTGATATTGCTGAATTTATAAAGTTAAATATGCCGAAAGCTATTAAAAGTGATGCTCGAAACATTATTCTAAAGGTTAAAACCTTTTTTGAAGAATAAGCTCGGGCGGGGTCTCCGATTATTCCATTTAATCAAATATACAAACGAATTTCGGCAGCGACAGGTTAGTGTTGTCAACTTTCTTGTTATAAATTACCCGGTACTTAACTAATTATTTAAGTCCACGAAATATTCGTTTCTATTCTTGCTGCGGGTTAGCGTAACGGTAACGTACATCTATTAGGTAACCCGCTAAGTGAGTGAGCCAACTAACCTGCCAGATTTCAAATTTCTACTAACATTTATTTTGTTATCTTATATTTCAGGTGTGAGTCAAGGACTAATTTCAAAAATAGTTAAGGAAGAGCATGCAGCAGAAGAAACTGGTACAAAAATTTGGACACCAGGCAAGGAGAGAAAACGTAAAAGTGGATTTGTGCAAGTTGATGATTTTAACATGGGAGTTATACGGAGGAAAGTACATGAATTTTATTCTGCCAAAAAAGAGGTCCCTACTGTTAAAAAGCTTCTAGAGGTCTTAAAGACAAATAAATTACACAGGACAGCGAGAGAGTCTGCGAAAGCTGCTTCACAAGTTGGGATTTCGTTTTAAAAAATCTCAATCCAATGGAAAGGTTCTTATGGAGCGTAATGAAATATCAGCTTGGAGAGCTGGAGCTGGAGTACTTGCATGCAGTGGATAAAAATAATAAATCTCCCCAGCCCCGGCCCATAATTTATTTAGATGAGACCTATATTCACTCTTCACATACATCGGGTAAATGTTGGCCAGGAGACGGTGAAGACGGAGTATTGGAGCCTGTATCGAAAGGGCAAGGGTATCATGCGGGAGGAGATACTGGATTTGTTACAAATGCACTACTTGTGTTTAAATCAAACACAAAAAGTGGTGATTATCATGACGAGATGAATAGTACCAACTTTAAAAAGTGGGTTATTGAAAAACTTGTGCCTAATTTACGAGAGCCATCCATAATAGTGATGGATAATGCTCCTTATCAAAGTATTTGTGTGAATAAAGTCCCAAATACGAATTCTTTAAAAAAAGATATGCAATTATGGTTGACCCAAAATAAAATTGACTACGGAGAGAATTTGACTAAACCTCAGCTTTTAGAAATAATTAAGAGAAACAAGCCTGAACCTGTATATGAGATTGAAAAAAATTTAGAAGACAATAGACATAAATGCTTATATTTACCACCTTATCACTGTGATCTCAATCCCATTGAACTCATATGGAGCACAATGAAAAGAAAAGTTGCTGATGTAAATATTGAGCACAAAAATGCTGAAATTCCCTGATTAGTTAGAGAAGCTTTTGACGCTATTACAGTTCATGAGTGGGCACAGCATAGTAAACATGTTCGCAGGTTAGAAGGAGAATACTTAAAACATGATTTGTATTTAGATAAACCTTTTATTATAGAAGTTGTAAGTGACACTGAAACCGAAAGCGATAGTGATAATGATGATAGTGGTACGGAAATAAGCGGAGTATGGCCTCTCAACCAGGATGAAGTTGTGTATGCAGGTTCGTTTAATTACTGTAAACCTGGTTTTCAATAAATTATTATAAAGCAATTTGTTTTTTTTAATTACACTACACTACCACTAGGTACCACTGCTAATTATAATTAGTCAAATCTGGTGTTAGGGGTTAGTTACGGTCATAACTAAATGCTAGACATACATGCATACATAACATGCTAGGGTAGGTACCTACTTAACTTCGCATTAAATGAAAGTTGTATCTCTCCCGTGGAACATTTTATCTGCTGAATTTCCACTTCATTGGATTACTTTTTAGATAAAGCCATTGTTTATTGCTGAGAGACTAAACTGTTAGTGTACCTACGCAACTGTAAATTATCAAATTCTTTTTATTTATTTTATTATTTTTATAGAGGTATCATTATTTTTAATTTGTTTTGTTTTTAATTCTTATTAAACGATTATGTCTAATGTGAAAATTCTTTCTTGAAAACTTACTCAATTTTGGACACCTTATATTAATTAGCAACACTGAATCGACGGTGCCGTCCTCTTTCAGTTCACAGATAAGTTGGTAGGACTGTACGTACGATTTAAACGAAACATAACAACAATTTAAAAAAATATTGGTTCCTAATTTAAAAAATGCTACCGTAGAAAAATATTAATGGACAGATTCGACCTGAAACTACAAAGAGTGACATTTCTACGAGAAATGAACAGTATAACTGATTTGAACCAAAATTATATTTTTGGATGAAACGTGGTTGTATTCAAACCATACCGTGTCGAAGTCTTGGACGAACGAAACTTCGTTCTCTAGTACAAAAGTGCCTATTGGGAAAGGTGGCCCATTAATTATTTGTCATGCTATATATGCAGTAGGTTTGAACTAAAAATTTAAAATATTACCATTCACACAAATAAATCTATTGACATTTCGAAATCTTAACAAATTCTGTTAGATCAGGATATTGTTTTGCGTTTGCTGGCCATTTTACTGATTCAGGTTTATACCCGCGAAAGGTGCGCAGTGTTGCCGAATATTCGGCGCTTCGGCCAAGAGACTCGCCGAATATTCGTTATTCGGCCAAATTACCATTCGTGCCATCTCTAGTGAAGTTAGAGATGTGTATGAAAATTTTAAAATGAAAAAAGAAAAAAAAATTAAGTAATCAATGTACTGGCCTAAATTATCTATACAATTTTGCCATTTTGATGGCAGTTTGTTTATCCACTCTCAGCAAAGAGTATTTGAATTGAATGACTAACTCCATATTAAGGAGAACAAAACCGCTAGCCAATGCTAGTATGTGAAAATATTTTTACAAATATAATACTACAGAAAACTGTATGCATTGAGTATTTCAATTCCAATTTCACGCATTTTTAACTATAAATAATTAACATGGCTGTGAAATCGTATAAATAAAATTCGAATATAGCACCTTTAATTATTCAGCAATTTAAATTTTATGGTAGTCAACGTGAACGTCAACGTATTTTATTTTATCAACGTGATTGTATTTAAAATACATAATATTTTTACTAAAAATTTAAAACCCTTTAAGTAATATCTTCCAAGGTCTGCACACAATATTTCCTTATTCGATTCCATTCTTTTTATTCGTTATTTCACTTCTTTTGTGGCTTTGGTTCTATCTCATCTATCTGTTTTTCATTCATCAGTTCATCACACATCACATCAACAGCCTTTAATAGTCTACTGCTGGACATAGGCCTCTCCTTAGAAAGGAGGTTTTGGTCTACTTTACCACGCTGGCAGATATTTGCCGGCGTGTTGGTTAGGGATAGGGTTTTCAAGTTTTCCTTCTTATTGAATTGCTGTTATCCAGTATAGTTTGCTCCCTTAGTCGGCTACCACGACACCCACGGGATGAATCACACGGATAATCATTTTTTCATGGGTCGTCTTGAATCCATCAACTTCCTAAAACTTTCTTCACCACATTTTGTTCATAATTTGGCATCCTTTCTATGTCAGTTGAATTGTATAAGATATGATCAGAAAGGACAATGGGCAAAAATGTATGGCGCTTGTCCCATCGGCGGCCACATCTGTCCTATATATGTTTTAGTCGACAATTATGCAAAAAATTATTTCGGCAACTTGTTTATATAAATCACAAAGTGCAACTTGCCCCGCCCACTGCAGCCCGGGATAGGCTCCGCCCCAGCGTAGGTGACGCTCGGCTTACGCAAGCTAACTTACTAGTAGTGCGAGATCCACCCGCAGTATCAAGCCGCGCCCCCGGGTTGTACTGGAGGCGTATACGCAGTTGCGACGTGAATAGATAAGTAACTTGTGATAACTTCTTACTACCTTGTTTTACTAATAATGTCTCTAAAACGCACTCCACCAATGCAGTTAAATCGCCCGAGCTTAGTAAAAACACCTGTTACGTCTTATGGATCTGATCCTCAGCTGCATGTGTGTGCGCGGGACCCAGTGCCTGCTGACGATACTGACCTTAATATTACTCGTAGATTGAAACGTGTCTACGTTTCAATCTACGAGTATCATCAAGTAGTCTTACTTGATGATAGTGATAGATCATCGGAAAATATTTCAATTGCTGATCAAATGGAAGACATGTTTAAAAAGTTCGAAATAAAGCAAAACTCGAAATTCGAGAAACTTATTGAATCAGTATTGGTCGTTAAGGATCAAAACACAGATATCCAAAAAAGCCTAGAGTTCCTGTCAACGAAATATGATGCTTTGCTGACCACAATGACGCAGCTTGAACAACAAAACAAAGCCTATGAAATTAAAATTCATTCACTCGAAAACAAGATTGAACAACTAGAACGGAACTCCCGCGCTTCGTCCGTAGAAATTAGGAACATCCCTAAGCAGCCCTCCGAAAATAAGGTTCTCCTCGAGTCGCTTGTCAAGTGCGTGGGTGACGTGATACAGCACCCAATATCAAACTCAGACATTCATGACGTCTATCGTCTAAAGTCTAAAAATGATGCTGGCAACCATATAGTTGTTAGCTTTTCTACTACGTTTGTTAAGGATGGCTTTATGAGGCAATGTAGAAGCTACAACAAGGGTAACAAGGATGGAAAGCTCAATACCGCTCATCTCAAACTACCAGGACCTACTAAACCGGTGTTTATTGGCGAATCTCTAACGAGCCTTGGAAGACGACTGGCATATCTGGCTCGACAATTCATCAAGGATAACAACTACTACAGCACCTGGACCTCGTATGGTAAAATATATATAAAAAGATCACAGGACTCGCCGTCCTTGCGTATATATTGCGAGCAAGACCTGAAAAACATTGCACCTAAATGACTATCACTGAAGAGATCGGATTTTTTGTTGCTCATTATTTACGTTATGTATAATGTTATTCTACAATATTATAATAGTTATACTACTCTGCCTGTATACACTAACAGTAAACACACACTACTTATATATATATATATATTTGCATAACCGACATAACTGTCACATACATATAATACTCATGCACAACCCTATATAATCACCACGTTTACATAATACCAAGACATGGAACCAGCGCGTCTTTAACTACCTTTCATCTATACAACTTATACGATATATCAAAGAAATATCATATATTCACAACAAAAATATTAAAACCACATGCATGTATTTGTCATAATGTATTAGTCTCGAGTTACGCCGTGAATCTAAACAAACTAACTATCTCATTTAACCAGAACTCACCTTGTTTTATTATACTTAACAATGTTTGATAATATTAATGAAATAATTGACGATTTCCAAGTTGCTTATTCATCAACCTGCGAAATA